AGGGGACAGGTCCCAGGGAAGCCCCGGACTCCTAGAGGGGAGGCCAGGTGGGGTCCCTGGTGACCAGGACAGACTGTGGTGTTTTTTAACGTAAGGGAGATATGCTACATGACAGACCCCCGGGGTGCTGCGCACCGCCTGGTGGCAGGCGGGCAGTGGTGGGCGCTCACGCCCCTGCCACGTGCCCATCATGTGCCTGCCCTCAGTGGGAGGGGCTCCGAGGATGACTTTTAAAAATGCAGAGAAAGGCTCCATTCTTCCCAGGACCTCAGCCCAACCCTGGCCCAGGGAGGCAGGAGACAGAGGCCAGGAGGGGGCCAGAGGTGTTGAAATGTCCTGGGGACCTGAGCAGCCACCAGGGAAGAGGCAGGGAGGGAGCTGAGGACCAGGCTTGTCCACACTGGTTGTGAGATGCCTTGAGCCCAGAGGGTTGATGCCAGGAGGTGTCTGGACTGGCTGGGCCATGCCTGGACTGACCTGTCCAGCCAGGGAGAGGGTGAGTGTGAGGGCAGATCTGGGGGTGCCCAGATGGATGGAGGCAGGCATGGGGGATACCCAAGGCCCCCTGGCAGCACCATGAGCTAAGCAGGACACCTGGAGGGGGAGACCTGTGGGGACCTGGGGGCCTCCAGTGACCCCTTCCTGCTTCCTGAACAGGACTATGCCTGTGCAGGGATCCCAGAGAAGACTGCTGGGCTCCCTGAACTCCACCCCCACAGCCACCCCCCACCTGGGGCTGGCTGCCAACCAGACAGGAGCCCGGTGCCGAGAGGTGTCCATCCCTGACGGGCTCTTTCTCAGCTTGGGGCTGGTGAGCTTGGTGGAGAACGTGCTGGTGGTGACCGCCATTGCCAAGAACCGGAACCTCCACTCACCCATGTACTGCTTCATCTGCTGCCTGGCCCTGTCAGACCTGCTGGTGAGCGGGAGCAACATGCTGGAGACGGCCGTCACCCTCCTGCTGGAGGCCGGTGCACTGGTGGCCCGGGCTGCCGTGGTGCAGCAGCTGGACAATGTCATTGACGTGATCACCTGCAGCTCCATGCTGTCCAGCCTCTGCTTCCTGGGCGCCATTGCCGTGGACCGCTACATCTCCATCTTCTACGCACTGCGCTACCACAGCATCGTGACGTTGCCGCGGGCACGGCGAGCCATCGCAGCCATCTGGGTGGCCAGTGTCCTCTGCAGCACGCTCTTCATTGCCTACTACGACCACGCGGCCGTCCTGCTGTGCCTCGTGGTCTTCTTCCTGGCCATGCTGGTACTCATGGCTGTGCTGTACGTCCACATGCTGGCCCGGGCCTGCCAGCACGCCCAGGGCATTGCCCGGCTCCACAAGAGGCAGCGTCTGGCCCACCAGGGCTTTGGCCTCAAAGGCGCTGCCACCCTCACCATCCTGCTGGGTATTTTCTTCCTCTGCTGGGGCCCCTTCTTCCTGCATCTCACACTCATTGTCCTCTGCCCCCAGCACCCCACCTGCAGCTGCATCTTCAAGAACTTCAACCTCTTTCTCGCCCTCATCATCTGCAATGCCATCATTGACCCCCTCATCTACGCCTTCCGCAGCCAGGAGCTCCGCGGGACGCTCAAGGAGGTGCTGCTGTGCTCCTGGTGAGCGCGGCACGGGCAGCTTTCAGCGTGCTGGGCAGAGGGAGGTGGTGATATTGTGTGGCCTGGTTTCTGTGTGACCCTGGGCAGTCCCTTACCTCCCTGGTCCCCATTTGTCAAAGAGGATGGACTGACCTCTGAAGGTGTTGAAGCATGGACCCTTCTGGGACCAGGGAGAGGGGTCCCTGCAAAACTCCAGGCAGGACTTCTCACCAGCAGTCATGGGTAACGGAGGAGGACATGGGGAGGTTGTGAGGCCTCAGGCTCTGGGCACCAGGGGCCGACCTCAGGCTCCTGAAGAGACATTCTCCGCCCACTCCCGGGGCACTCCACCTGCTCCAATGGGCATCCACCCCACCCCATCTTTGCTGCCAACCTCAGGACCTGTGCCCTCGTCAGCTGGGATGTGGAGGCTCTGGGTGGAAGAGTGTGCCAAGAGCTACTCCCACAACAGCCCCAGGAGAAGTGACTTTGTGACCAGAAAGCTTCAGCTACAGTCATGCAATGGCTTCTGCCAAAGGAAGTGAAATCCCTGCCTCAAGCCAAGGGACCAGGTTTGCAGAAACCTCACAAGTGGTGTGGGGCTGAGCCCTCCTGAGCACTGGTTCTAAGGCTCAGACTGGGAACTGGGGCCTCAGCCTGCTTTCCTGCAGCAGTCACCCAGGCAGACAGCCCTGGCAAATGCCTGACTCAGTGACCAGTGCCTGGGAGCACGGGGCCAGGAAAGTCTGGTAATAAATGTGACTCAGCATCACCCACCTTAGCCCCTTCCAGAAAGTGCTTCAAGTTTGCGGGTGGAGGGGTAGGGGAGGGGAAGGTGGGCAGGGATGAGAGTCAAGAGAGTCCAGGAAGAAAGGAGTCCTGGAAAACGTGGCTGCCTCCCCAGGTGAGGAAGCCACAGCCCCAGAGGCCCTGAACGCCTGGGGAGTGTGGAGGTCCCAACCAGGCTTGCGCTGACCCTGCTTCTCAGGTTTCTCTCCGTGCTTACAAACCCCAGCCTAGAGGAATGAGGAGCAGGTGCAGCAGGGCCCCAGCCCCTCCACTCTGACACTGTCCCAGCTGCAGGAGAGGTGGGTGCCCAGCCCTCCATGTGACCACAGGTGACCTCAGCCAGGCACACTCCTTTGCTGGCCCTGGCCCTGAGTCCCTCCAGCCGTGATGAGCCGTGAATGGGACCATCCCTGGTCACTCTGAGATGCCTGGAAGGGGGCTCAGTGCAGGCGGTCTGGGGGCTGGGTCTGCTGTCTGTCCAGCATTGCCATTCTGGGAGTGCGCAGGTGGGGTGGGGGTCGGGGGTGGTCTGTGTTGAGCCAGTCCTGGGAAGTGCTGGATGTGAGGCCTCTGAAGATGAGGATGAGGCAGAGGCCCAGCGGCGGATAAGTCCCCTGGGAATGAACTATGCTGCCTGGTGCTAGGGAGCAGTGGAGCCCCTGGGCCATCCCTCTGCTGAAACCTGGGCATCTCGCTGAAGAGACCAACTCCATTTCCTCTGCAGACGCTGAGCACTCAGTCACCCCCTTTCCGGAACAGGCTCAGTGGAGGCTGCAGGGCTGCCATCAGCCAACTCCTAGGCAGGCCCAGTCAGCAGCCCCCTGGCCAGCCCCACCCCTGCGTCAGCTCCAGCCCTGACTGCCGGCCTCAGAACTGGGAGCTGCTTCCTGGCAGGGCCCGCCTGTGCTGGGAGACCGGACGGTGAGTCAGCCTTCAGCCTGGCACCAGAGCTCTCTGAGGATGGAGCAGGGGTTGGCTGGCCTGAGGCTGCAAAACTTCCCTCATGGAGACAGGCAGGCACCCAGACGCTCACCCGGGACTCCCTTGAACAGGGACAGGGAGGAACTCCAGGCAGCTAGACCCCAGCCACAGCCACTTGAGCACACTGTGGGGCAGGGAGGGGTATCTCTTGAGAACAAAAGATCCATTTCTCGACTTTCCGAACTGGAGAGCTTCTTGAGAGAAAAGAGAGAGACAGGGACAAGGCCATGCCACCCACACAGTCCTGTGCACACAGACCGGACACAGGCGTCCACAGGAGGGTTTGCAGCTGCTCATTGTGTGAAGTGAATGCTGATTTGGGGACGGGGGGTCGTCTGTGCATTGTGCACTGTCAGACCCTTCCTGAAGGATTTTTGTTACTGAAATATCAGAAGGTCCTTGTTATAAGGTGGTGTCACTGTAATATCTGGCCCAGGAGGAGGTCAGTGCTGTGCGGGCGAGCCCTTCCCTCCCTCCCTTCTTCTCTGACCAGTAGACGCATCTCCAGTTGTTCCCCTGAGGCCCCCCTGCAGCATTCTCCGACATCAGAGAGTGAGTCAGATAGAAGCCGCTGCCCACCCTCCCCCACCCTGGCCGGGTTCTTGCCTGGCTTGTGCGTCCTTGTGACAATTCCTGACACGGATGCGCACCGGGCAGTGGCACGTCCAGGTGCTGTGCGCGGCCGGGCCCACAAAGCTCCTTTGGCCTTTCACGGAGCCCCCTGCGGGAGGGGGCCAGGTGGCCCCCCCACTGCGGAAGCCGGCGACCCACGGAGCTCGCTCTCGGCCGCCGTCACCCCTCTGTGTCCGCGCCCTTCCGAGCTCTGATCGGACGCTTTGTTTCTTCTCAGTGGGTTCAGGGCCTGCGCCAACCTTTACCTACCTCCCCCACCCAAAACCGGCAAAGCTCAGAGCACCTTTTCTGCCAAAAGACAGGGAGCTGGGAAGGTGCGGCTTGGTCCCTAAACCGGCGTGGGGATAAAGACCTCCTTACAAAGCCGCAGGGTGGGGCTGTCGCAAGGGCGGAACCGACAGGGTAGCCGGGGGCGGGGTTCCCAGGGCCAAGAGGGGCTTCTATTGTCCTCCCTGGAGCCCGGCGCCCCCACAGGCAGCTCCTCTGGGAGGCAGCCCCTCCTTTCGAGTGCGCGGGGGCCCCCAGACCGCGCCCGGCCCTGCGCTGGGGGAGGCTTGGCTGCGGGAGGGGCGCCGCATTGCGCGCGGCGGGCGGGGACGCGCGGTGCGGGGCCTGCGGGCCGGGCGGGATTCTGCGGCGGCGCCTCCCGATTGGCCACCCGCGGTGACATCAGCCGATGCGAAGGGCGGGGCCGCAGCTATAAGATCGCGCGGCCGCGGTCCCCGACCCTCAGCAGCCAGCCCGGCCCGCCAGCGCCCGTCCGCAGCCGCCAGCAAGACGCGCCCAGCATGAGGGAGATCGTGCACATCCAGGCCGGCCAGTGCGGCAACCAGATCGGGGCCAAGGTGAGGCTGCGCGCCCCGGCCTGTCCCGGGCCTCGGGGCGGGAGGAGGGAGGCGCCGTGCCCCGCGGGCCGCACCTCCAGCCGCCCCCGCCCCTGCGAACCTGCAACAAAGGGATGCGCCCAGCGTCGCGCCGGGCGGCCGGGACGCGGGGCCCCCGCCCTGGGACTCTCGCCCGCACCTCTCCTCCCCTGCCCAGGTGACCTCGGGCTGTCGGGGCGCAGCTCACGTCAGTCGCGAAGCCTCAGCCCCCTCCACACCTGCGCCCCCTCCACACCTGCGCCCCCTCCACACCTGCGCCTCCTCCACCAGGCCTCCGCAGGTGCAGCTGGGAGCCCTGTCTGGGCGTGGCCCTCTTTTTAGGGGCCGCAGCATAGCCTTGAGTGAGACGGGTGGGGTAGGCAGATTTGGGTGGGCTGGGGTTCTCCTCACAGCCTTGATTCCCTTGGCCCGAACCCCCCACTGGAGGAATCGAACGTCCCTCGAGAGGTTAGAGCCGCCCCGATGTCCCCAGCCTGCTCCAACAGCCCTCGACGTCCTAGCCCCACCCTGTCCCTTTGTTGGAGGGATTGGGCCTGGACTCGAGATGACCTTGGTCCAGGACCAGGCTCTCCATCGGCGCAGCCGCTCCTGGGCAACCCCTGCGGGGCTTGACCGCGCCCACCCAGGGTCTACCAGTCTGGGGATTGGATGTGGGAACAAAGCCGGGCTGTGGGGTGTGGAGGCTGCACCGTGGCGCGCCCCTCCCTCCATTGTTAGCCCACCTCGCAGATGTCGGGGCCAGGCAGGAAGGGGCGTTGATGCAGCTCTACAGGGACCCCCGCCTAAATCATTAAGGGGACGTCTTGTCCCCTGGTCCTGGGAGGCTGTCCCTGACCCAAGGTCACACAGCAGGTGCGAGAGAGCTGGGCTGGCCCTTGGTTCTCATCCCCTGCAGGAGCCAACCTGGGGCTCGGGTGGGGCGGGTGGGGTACTGCTTGCCAAAGGGTCTACCCTCCGAACAGTGTTGGAGAACGGGGGATGGGGTGAGGCTGGCTTTGTCAGGACCAAGGCCAGGGACCCAGCTCAGGGCTGGTGCAGCGCTGATTCTGGGAAGGAGGGGGTGGAGGAGACGGTCCTGGAGGGGAAGGGGCCAGAGAAAGGCTTCCTCGGGAGGCTGTTGCCACGGAAACCAGGCAGGAACAAAAAGCTAATTACAACAGGGCCAGCCACGTGGCTGACATGTAAATTGCAACTTTGGTTCTGGGTGGAGGCGCCTCTGAGGGTGGGAGGCCCAGTAATGGGGAGACTCTAATCACCCAAGGAGACAGCTGTGCCTGCCAAGGAGAGCCTGGGGGAGGGGAGGCCTGGGGGACAGTGGCCTCAAATCAAACCAGGACTCCTGGAGCAGCCTCTGACAGCTGCCCTGGCCTGATGGGAGGGGCTGAGGGCTCATTAATGTGGTCACTGGGGCCAAGCCTGCCCTGAGCATCTGCTCCTGGGAGGGTCAGGGGTCGCTGTGGGGAGGGAGGGCAGGCAGCCCTGAGGCCCACCTGGGGTTTCTCCTTCTATGACTGGGATGGGCCCAGAGCTGTGGTCCCACAAGGCACTTATCAGGCAAGAGCTGGGACCTAGAAGTCAGTTCCACATGCAGACATCCCCTGAGGCTCCATGGGTGGCAGTGGTAGCCCTTGTCCCCTGGACCGCGTCCTTGGCTGCCTTGTGCTCTGCTTCTCAACACTGGAGCCCTCAGTTTGCCCACTACTTTTATTCCTTTTGAGGTTTTTCTTAATTTATTTTGTTTTAAAAATTAATACCTGGCCGGGCACGGTGGATCAGGAATCTCATGTAATCCCAGCACTTTGGGAGACTGAAACTGGAGGATCACTTTAGCAAAGGAGTTCAAGACCAGCCTGGGTAACATGGTGAAACTCCGTTTCAGAAAAAAAAAAAAAAAAAAAATTAGCCTGGCGTGGTGGGCGCGCCTGTAGCCCCATCTACTTGGGAGGCTGAGATGGGACATCGTTTCAGCGTGGGAGGTCGAGGCTGCAATTAGCTATGACCTCACCACTGTACTCCAGACTAGGCGATGAGAGAGACCCTGTCTCAAAATAATAATAATAGTATCCGATTCTTTTTAACAATGCAAACAACAGAGAAGTAAATTTTCTCGGGGCGGGGGGCGGCAAGAGCGTATTCCTTTCCTCTGCTGCCCTTGTGGAATCAATGGGAAGCAGCTCAGTGGTTTGCGTCCAGCCGCACCCTCGCCCTGGAAGGTCTCCAGGGGTCACACGCGAATTCCCCCGGGCCAGGGCCCGCGTAGGGGATTCGCCCCCTGACGGGAAGTTCCTTGGCCGTTCTCGGCCTCCACTCCCACAGCTGGTGGGGGGGCAGCAGCTGAAGGCGGGCAAGGCGGCTGCTCCTCTGTCTGGGGTCCTTGGGTGGTGCCTGGCTGGGCAGGAAGGAAGGTGCCCAGAAAGGTGCCCCTCTGGGCAGAGGGAAGTCGGGGTGACTCGAGGCCGGGAGCAAAGCCGGGTCCCGGGCGGTCACGCGGCAGCGCGGACGACTCACCGCGGTCACCCCTGCGCTGGGAGCCGCGCCCGCATCGTCTCGCGGGGATGAGGTAAGCCGGGCGCAGCCAGCCCCGAGGAGCCCCGAGGATGAGAAAAGCCGAAGCCCGGACAGCCGAGCGGCCGCCTGCAGTCACCCCTGGGGGGCAGGGGCGGGCCGGGCTGTGCAGAAGCACCTGGGCCCGCGGGACGCAGGACGCTGCCCCGCCGCCGCAGAGCTGAGTCTGGGCCCCGGGGTCTCCTTTCCTGGGGTCTCTGCTCCTCCCTCCCGGGTTCAGGGCGGGGCGGGGCGGGGCAGCGCGGGGGCGGGGGGGGGGCCTTTGTCCTCCGCGCGGGCTTCGGCACCGCCTCCTCGCGGCTGCTGGGCGGGGAGGGGGCGGGGCCTGGCCCTCGCAGCCAATGGGAGACGGCGTCCCTGCTCACCCCGCCCCCTCGCCTGAACGCCCCCTTGGAGCCGCGGGCCGGGCGGGAACCGCATTCGGGTCCTGCAGGGGCTTGGAGGCCCCGGTAACGCAGCCCCTTCTGCGGCGGCCGCCGCTCCCACCTCCGCCGCTGCCACCTGCCTGGGCCGCTGCCCGCAAAGCCCGGCCCCGCTTTCCCCAGGACCCAAGCGCGGCGCGAGGTCAGCACCAAGGACAGCGCCCGGGCCGAGAGGCTGGCCTCGAACGCCGGGTTCTGCGTTTTGTTTTTACGTTTCTGTTTTTGCTTTTTGTTTTTGGTTATGAGACGAGGTCTGGCTCTGTCGCCCGGGCTGGAGTCCAGTGGCGCGATCTCGGCTCACCGCATCCTCGGCCTCCCGAGTGGATGGGACCACAGGCGCGCGCTCACCACCACGCCTGGCCACAATTTTTTTTTCTTCTTTTTTTTTAGATGGAGTTTCGCTCTTGTTGCCCAGGCTGGAGTGCAGTGGCACGATCTCGGCTCGTTGCAACCTCCACCTCCTGGGTTCAAGCGATTCTCCTGCCTCAGCCTCCTGAGTAGCTGGGATTACAGGCGCTCACTACCACGCCCGGCTAATTTTTTGTATTTTTTAGTAGTGACGGGGTTTCATCATGTTGGCCAGGCTGTTCTCAAACTCCTGACCTCAGGTGATTCACCTGCCTCAGCCTCCCAAAGTGCTGGGATTGCAGGTGTGAGCCACTATGCCCGGCCGATTTCCTTTTCTGTAGTGATGTTAACAACTTAGTTCATAAAATTGTATTTTATTGTTTCTTTTTTTTTTTTTGAGACGGAGTCTTGCTCTGTCGCCCAGGCTGGAGTGCAGTGGCCGGATCTCAGCTCACTGCAAGCTCTGCCTCCTGGGTTTATGCCATTCTCCTGCCTCAGCCTCCCAAGTAGCTGGGACTACAGGCACCCGCCACCTCGCCCAGCTAGTTTTTTGTATTTTTTAGTAGAGACGGGGTTTCACCTTGTTAGCCAGGATGGTCTCAATCTCCTGACCTCGTGATCTGCCCGTCTCGGCCTCCCAAAGTGCTGGGATTACAGGCTTGAGCCACCACGCCCGGCCTTTATTGTTTCTTAAATATGTAACATAGGCCAGGCATGGTGGCTCACGCCTGTAATCCCTGCACTTTGGGAGGCCGAGGTGGGTGGATCTCTTGAGCTCAGGAGTTCAAGACCAGCCTGGGCAACATGGCGAGACCCTGTCCCTACAAAAAATAAAAAACAAAAAAATTAGCTGGACATGGTGGCACGCCGGCCTGTGGTCCCAGCTACCTGGGAGGCTGAGGTGGGAGGATCACTTGGGGGAGGCGGGCAGAGGTTAAAGTGAGCTGAGATCATGCCCCTGCATTCCAGCCTGGGCAACAGAGCAAGACCTTGTCTCAAAAAAAATAAAAATAAAAATAAAAAAGTAACATTTTATTGCTTTATCTCAAATTACAATTTTAACTACAAAAGCAATTAATATATTCTCGTTAAAAAAAAGTGAAATATTGCAGATAAGGCTGAAGTGCACATTTAGCCACTTCTCTCTATCCAAGTGGGAACAAATTTCTTTTTCTATCCTCCTGATCCCTTTTATTTAAGTGACCTGTGCATATGGTTTTAAAACTTTAAATAGTATCTAAAACCTTTTAACAAAATGAAGCCAACATGTGCTAAATGTTTTCTTTTTTTTTTTTTTTTTTTTTGAGACGGAGTCTCGCTGTGTCGTCCAGGCTGGAGTGCAGTGGTGCGATCTCGGCTCACTGCAAGCTCCACCTCCCGGGTTCACGCCATTCTCCCGCCTCAGCCTCCAAGTAGCTGGGACTACAGGCGCCCGCCACCTCGCCCGGCTAGTTTTTTGTATTTTTAGTAGAGACGGGGTTTCACCATGTTAGCCAGGATGGTCTCGATCTCCTGAGCTCGTGATCCACCTGCCTCGGCCTCCCAAAGTGCTGGGATTACAGGCTTGAGCCACCGCGCCCGGCCTGCTGAATGTTTTCATGTCAAACTTTGTGGTAAGGCCTTGATGTGGGTACCATTCACACACGCATCTCACAGATGAGAAAGCAGGTCCTGCGAGGCACAGTGCCTGGCCCACAGCTGTGCTCATGCTGGGCCCTGAATCTACTCTGGTCCATTGCTCCTGCCGCCCCGTGCCTCACTCAGCAGAGGACTTCCCATAGATGTGTTACTCTGTCCACCCCTCCTTTACAGGTGCTGGTGGTGGTGGGTTCCCTGGAACCACAAATTTGGGGTGTCCCAGTGCTTTGGGGAGCAAGGTCCCCGGCTCAAGTGGACTGCCAGCAACTAAATTAATGGAGGATCCTGAAAGACAGTATTAGGGAGGCAAGCGGTACATGGGAAGCTTGGACGAGCCCTCAAATGCCTCCATGACCTTTCTGTTTTTGTTTTTTTTTTAGACAGGGTCTCACTCTGTCACCTGCACTGGCATGATCTAGGCTCACTGCAACCTCTGCCTCCCTGGCTCAAGTGATTCTCCCACCTCAGCCTCCTGAGTAGCTGGGGCTGTAGGCATGCGTCACCATGCCCAACTTAATTTTTTTTTTTTTTCGGTAGAGACAGGGTTTCACCATGTTGCCTAGACCGGTCTCGAACTCCTGAACTCAAGTGATCCACCTCTCTTGGCTTCCCAAAGTGCTGGGATTATAAATATGAGCCACCATGGCCAGCTGATTTTTTGTTTTGTTTTGTTTTGTTTTGAGATGGAGTCTCACTCTGTCACTCAGGCTGGAGTGCGGTGGAGTGATCTTGGCTCACTGCAACCTCCACCTCCTGGGTTCAAGCAATTTTCCTGCCTTAGCCTCCCAAGTAGCTGGGATTACAGGCGCCTACCACCAAACCAGCTAATATATATATATTTTTTTTGAGATGGAGTCTTGCTTCTATCGCTCAGGCTGGAGTGCAGTGGTGCCACCTCGGCTCACTGCAAGCTCTGCCTCCCAGGTTCACGCCATTCTCCTGCCTCAGCCTCCCAAGTAGCTGGGGCTACAGGTGCCCGCCACCATGCCTGGCTAATTTTTTGTATTTTTAGTAGAGACGGGGTTTCACCTTGCCATCCAGGATGGTCTCAATTTCCTGACCTTGTGATCTGCCTGCCTCGACCTCCCGAAGTGCTGGGGCCACAGGCATGAGCCACTGCGCCCAGCCTAATTTTTGTATTTTTTAGTAGAGATGGGGTTTCACCATGTTGGTCAGGCTGGTCTTGAACTACCGACCTCGTGATCCACCCACCTTGGCCTCCCAAAGTGCTGGGATTACAGGGGTGTGAGCCACCGTGCCCAGCCTTTTTTTTTTTTTTTTTTTTTTTTTTAAGACAGGGTCTCACTCTTGTCCCACAGGCTGGTGTGCCGTGGCTTGATCTTGGCTCATTGCAACCTCTGCCCCCAGGGTTCAAGTGATTCTCCTGTCTCAGACTCTCAAGTAGCTGAGATTACAGGTGTGTGTTACCACGCCTGGCTAATTTTTGTATTTTAATTAGACACAGGGTTTTGCCATGTTGACCAGTTTGGTCTCGAACTCCTGACCTCAAATGATCTACCTGCCTCAGCCTTCCAAAGTGCTGGGATTACAGGCATGAGCCACCACACTCAGCCTGATTCTTTTTTTTTTCTTTTTTTGAGACGGCATCTCGCTCTATCGTCCAGGCTGGAGTGCAGTGGTGCGATCTCCGCTTGCTGCAAGCTCTGCCTCCCAGGTTCATGCCACTCTCCCACCTCAGCCTCCCGAGTAGCTGGGACTACAGGCGTCCACCACCACGCCCAGCTAATATTTTTGTATTTTTTTAGTAGAGGTGGGGTTTCACTGTGTTAGCCAGGATGTTCTCGATCTCCTGACCTCATGATCTGCCCGCCTCAGCCTCCCAAAGTGCTGGGATTACAGGTGTGAGCCACCGCGCCCGGCCCTGATTCATTTTTATAATGTAAAAGCTTAATGCAAAAAGAATAAAACTTAGCAATGACAAAAATGCCCAAAAGGTGGAAATAAATCCACCCCGACCTTTATGGCGAGATGACCTCTGACAACAGTCTCAGGGTGAATCGGCATCGCGAGACTGTTAGCAGAGGCTGTCCATGTCCACACTGTTCATGTTATAATAATTACACTGTGTTCTTAAGGTTTTAAAAAAATTTATTTTTAACAAATTTTCTTTGAAAAGCTACACTGTGCATGTGATAAAATCCAACAGGACCATAGGGCACCCCGTGAGAAGAAGGTTCTCCCAGTCTGGGGCCCCTCCCCAGGCACAGCCTTCCATACATCTAACAGAGACACCCACACATAGAGAAGCACCCACAAACCGTTTCTTTCCTTCTTTTATTTGAGATGGCGTTTCCCTCTGTCGCCAAGGCTGGAGTGCAGTGGTGCGATGTAAGCTCACTGCAACCTCCGCCTCCTCATGCGATTCTCCTGCCTCAGCCTCCGGAGTAGCTGGGACTACAGGCACCCGCTACCGCACCCGGCTAATTTCTGTATTTTTAGTAGAGACGGGGTTTCACCATGTTGGCCAGGCTGGTCTCGAACTCCTGCCCTACGGTGATCTGCCTGCCTCGGCCTCCCAAAGTGCTGGGATTGCAGGTGTGAGCCACTGTGTCCGGCCTGCTAGAGGCATCCTAAAACATATCTCCTGTGTCTCCATTCCAAAGCACATCTTTGTTTGCACTCCTGGAGTCCTCCCGCATCAGCCTCCCAAAATGCTGGGATTGCAGGTGTGAGCCACTGTGCCCGGCCCCACCAAATTGTTTTCTCACCTGCTGTTTTTTGGAGGAATCTTTTCTGCAGCGCGTGACTCACGTGTAGCGCCCCTTGTTCTTGAGGCCTTCATGCCCGTCAGCTCATCTAAAAGTCACTCCTGAGGAGTGAGGGCAAGGGGCATTGGGAGAGATCAGGTGGCCCCAGGAAGCCATCCAGCGTGTGTCCCAGGAGGCCTGCTGCCTGCAGACACTGCTCTCAGACGCAGCAGCCTTGGCCATCAGCGTGTGTCCCACGATAAGGTGGCAAGTTCTCTGCAGGCCTTGCTCTCACCCAGGGGTGTGGGTCTCTGTGTGCACACATATGTGCTAATAGTTCTACGTTTGCCATATACCATTTATATGCCTTATGCAGATTAACCCACTTTAATCTCAAAAAGACCTGCTGTCATCATGCCCATTGTACAGATGAGGACACCGAGTCACAGAATCCTGGTGACCTGTGCAAGGTCACACAGCTGGGAGGGGTGGGGGAAGGGCCTGTTAACCCAGCAGGCCCAGCCCCTGAGTCTAGGCTCTGCAGCTGTCTTGGGAGCAGAGTCTGAGAAGCACAATAGGCACCTGTTCTAGGGGGAGAAAGGTGGAGGTGGCAGGTAGAGAGAGGATGACCAGTGGGAGCTGGGACGGCTCCACACGGACAGGCTGGGTGACCTCAGGCAAGTCGCTACCCATTTGAGACCCCAAGGACCCCTCTGCAGACCCAGCTGGGGGTCCCTGATGAGGTTGGCTCTCAGGGTCCCTATGAGTCCCCTTGGCTGAGGCCAGTAATGTCCCGGCACCACCACTGGACATGGTTTGCTCTGACGTGGAGGGGCAAGTGTAGCAGCCAAAAGCGATCCTGAGCTCCGGGCCTCTGAACCCTGCCCTACCAGCTACTGTGGGTGTGTCTACCCTCTCTCTGTCTCAGTTTCCTTTTCTGAAGAGAGGGGGGTAGTAAAAACCATCCCTCAGGGTGTTTATTACCAACGCCCTTCGTGGAGGGATCAGCTGGCCCAGGCCCTTGCCAGCAGGTGCACAGCTGGGCCTGGGGGCCTGGGTGTGGGTCTGTTGAACCTTGACCCACCCTGGAGCTGTGGTCGGACTGGACGTGCAGGTGTGGAGGTGCCTGTTTATTAGGGTGATTTCTGACAGATGACAGAGTATGGGGCTCTCTTCGTGGAGGCCTTGGGTCAAAAGCCCTCATTTTGCACCAAGGGCTATGAGGCTTCACAAGAGCAAGGGCCTGACGGGGGTTATGGGCCGCCCGCCGACCCCTCCTCTCCCACTTTGTTTGCAGTTCTGGGAAGTCATCAGTGATGAGCATGGCATCGACCCCAGCGGCAACTACGTGGGCGACTCGGACTTGCAGCTGGAGCGGATCAGCGTCTACTACAATGAGGCCTCCTGTGAGTGGCTGCCTCAGCCTCCCCACCCCAGCCTCCCCACCTCAGCCTCCCCACCCCAGCCTCCCCACCCCAGCCTCCCTACCTCAGCCTCCCCACCCCAGCCTCCCCACCCCAGCCTCCCCACCTCAGCCTCCCCACCCCAGCCTCCCCACCTCAGCCTCCCCACCTCAGCCTCCCCACCCCAGCCTCCCCACCCCAGCCTCCCCACCTCAGCCTCCCCACCTCAGCCTCCCCACCCCAGCCTCCCTACCTCAGCCTCCCCACCCCAGCCTCCCTACCTCAGCCTCCCCACCTCAGCCTCCCCACCCCAGCCTCTCCATCCCAGCCCTGGACTGACCAGGTCTCCTCAGCATCTCTGTCCTCCCATGGGTTGGCCGAGATGCCAGCAGGCATAAGTGGATGTCGGGCATCCAGAGGCACAAAATAAAGACAACAAATCACAGTCACAAAAGTGAGAGCCAAACATATTAGTGCCATGAGGGCCTTTGCGTGTCCAGGGGCACAGACAGGGATGGGGTGGGCCAGAGACTTTGGAGGCTGTAAGAGGGTCTAGAGAAGGGGTCACCTGGAGGGCTTAGTCAGGGGCTATTTAGCAACTGGTATAAAGTGATTTCCATATCAAAGTGGTGATACACCCACCTGCCCACATGGACATGTGACTTAAAATTGTATTTAATTTAATAGAGTCAGTCTCGATATGTTGCCCAGGCTGGTCTTGAACTCCTGGACTCAAGTGATCCACCTGCCTTGGCCTCCCAAAGTGTTGGGAGTGCAGGCGTGAGCCCCTGCGCCTGGTGGGGGTGTGACGTCCTGCTCCGTCCTGTCCTGCTCCGTCCTGTCCTGCTCCGTCCTGTCCTGCTCCGTCCTTACACACAGTGAGGCTTAAGGTGAAGAAAGTTGCTCAAGCTTGCCTTTGGTCCAGGACTCTCTGACCTCAGAGTAAAGGCTCTTAGGATGTGAGCAGCAGGATGGCAGGCAGGCAGAGAATTTAGAAAGAATGAGGGAGAGGCTCTGGCCCTCTGTAACCCAAATCACCGAGCCCTTCTCTCCCCTCAGCTCACAAGTACGTGCCTCGGGCCATTCTGGTTGACCTGGAACCTGGAACCATGGACAGTGTCCGCTCAGGGGCCTTTGGACATCTTTTCAGGCCTGACAATTTCATCTTCGGTAAGTTTCCCCTGCTCCAAGCTCTGATGGCAGACCGTATGACATGCAAGCCCAGGTCGGTGCACGGGGGCGGCTGTCAGAAATAAGGAATGGTCAGCTCCTCACACGATCTTGAAGGGTGAACACTGATCTCTCCATTTTACAGCTGGGCATTGGAGGCCCAGAGAAAGGGTTCTGTGGGGAGAACAGAAACCACTCATGCATTTCTTTTTTTTTTTTTTTTTTTTTTTTTTGAGACGGAGTCTCGCTCTGTCGCCCAGGCTGGAGTGCAGTGGCGCGATCTCGGCTCACTGCAAGCTCCGCCTCCTGGGTTCACGCCATTCTCCTGCCTCAGCCTCCCGAGTAGTTGGGACTACAGGCGCCCGCAACCGCGCCCGGCTAATTTTTTGTATTTTTAGTAGAGGCGGGGTTTCACCGTGGTCTCGATCTCCTGACCTTGTGATCCGCCCGCCTCGGCCTCCCAAAGTGCTGGGATTACAGGCGTGAGCCACCGCGCCCGGCCCCACTCATGCATTTCAAGTGGAATGAAGTGTAAAGCAGACAGAAGCTTACAGAATTGCTAGAGAGCTGGTGAGACGGAATGGGGCCTCCAGAGGACTCCAGGGTCCAGGAGAATGAGGCCTTGCTGCGGCCAAGAGGGCAGGACGTTCTCATGCCTGTGTCCTGGGGCAGGGCCATAGATGTGCCACACAAACCGGAGGGCCTCACTTCACTTCTGCCTTCCCAGCCTCAGCACACCCAACTGGTAGATGCCAGCTCGCATCCAGTGCCCAACTGCCAGGGATTCTGGGGTGGCTGTTTAGGCTCCTGGCACAGTCAGTCAGAAGGAAGGTGGGCTGGAGCAGGAGGGTTGATCCACTCACCCAGGATCCCCTCAGAAGGCAGAGCCTTGCTCTGGTGTGACCTCAAGTTCTCAAGACCCTGTCCAGAGCCCTTGTCTTCAGCACTCAGCAGCATTGACTCAGGGAAGCCACAGCGGGTATGAGAAGGGGTGCTCAGTGGGGTCTACTTTACAGAAATGAGAATGGGCACAGGGCTGCCATGGCTGCCCTGGGATGTTCAGGCAGGGGCTGGAGGTCTGGATTGCAGAGTCCCTGACCCCTGTCCCCTACCCCTCTTCTTCCTGCACAGGTCAGAGTGGGGCTGGCAACAACTGGGCCAAGGGTCACTACACGGAGGGTGCGGAACTAGTGGACTCAGTCCTGGATGTCGTGCGGAAGGAGTGTGAAAACTGCGACTGCCTGCAGGGCTTCCAGCTGACCCACTCGCTGGGGGGTGGCACGGGCTCCGGCATGGGCACGCTGCTCATCAGCAAGGTGCGTGAGGAGTATCCGGACCGCATCATGAACACCTTCAGCGTCGTGCCCTCGCCCAAGGTGTCAGACACAGTGGTGGAGCCCTACAATGCCACGCTGTCCATCCACCAGCTGGTGGAGAATACGGATGAGACCTACTGCATCGACAACGAGGCACTCTACGACATCTGCTTCCGCACCCTCAAGCTGGCCACACCCACCTACGGGGACCTCAACCACCTGGTGTCAGCCACCATGAGCGGGGTCACCACCTCCTTGCGCTTCCCTGGCCAGCTCAACGCTGACCTGCGCAAGCTGGCCGTCAACATGGTGCCCTTCCCCCGTCTGCACTTCTTCATGCCCGGCTTCGCCCCCCTCACAGCCCGGGGCAGCCAGCAGTACCGGGCCCTGACCGTGCCCGAGCTCACCCAGCAGATGTTTGATGCCAAGAACATGATGGCTGCCTGCGACCCGCGCCACGGCCGCTACCTGACGGTGGCCACTGTGTTCCGGGGCCGCATGTCCATGAAGGAGGTGGACGAGCAGATGCTGGCCATCCAGAGCAAGAACAGCAGCTACTTCGTGGAGTGGATCCCCAACAATGTGAAGGTGGCCGTGTGTGACATCCCGCCCCGTGGCCTCAAGATGTCCTCCACCTTCATCGGGAACAGCACGGCCATCCAGGAGCTGTTCAAGCGCATCTCCGAGCAGTTCACGGCCATGTTCCGGCGCAAGGCCTTCCTGCACTGGTACACGGGCGAGGGCATGGACGAGATGGAGTTCACCGAGGCCGAGAGCAACATGAACGACCTGGTGTCCGAGTACCAGCAATACCAGGACGCCACGGCCGAGGAGGAGGGCGAGATGTACGAAGACGACGAGGAGGAGTCGGAGGCCCAGGGCCCCAAGTGAAGCTGCTTGCAGCTGGAGTGAGGGGCAGGTGGCGGCCGGGGCCAAGGTCAGCAGTGTCTGACCCCCAGAGCCATCTTGCTGCCGACACTGTACCCTGCTTTCCCCCTTGCCCTAGGGCTCCCTTGCCACCCTCCTGCAGTATTTACGGCCTCGTCCTCCCCACCTGGGCCATGTGTGTGCTGCTCCTGTCTGTCTGATTGCAGCTCCAGGCCTGACGTTTTATGGTTTTGTTTTTTACTGGTTTGTGTTTATATTTTCGGGGATACTTAATAAATCTATTGCTGTCAGATACCCTTGCTTGGTGCCAGAGATTTCCTTTTATTCTGGAAAGTTGTGTCCCGTGGGTGGAGGTGTCGATGGAGCCCGGGTGGGCAGGCAAGAGCTCATCCTCTCCCAGGCTGGTGGCTGAGAGAGGCCTGCACTTGGGACCAGAAGGTGTCTCAAGGCACAGCCCATGGGGAGACCCTGGAAACGGGGAACCCGAGAGAAGGAATGGGAAGTACCTAGATAAAGCCTCATTCTAGACCCCGAGATGCAGCCCTCCTGTGACTTAGAAACAAACCCACACTCCTCCCCTGGTCTCCCACAGAGTGGCTTGCATCCGGAGATTTCTCCGCCTGTCTGCAGGCTGTACCCCGAGATTTCTCCCACCTGTCTGCAGGCTGCACCCCGAGATTTCTCCCACCTGTCTGCAGGCTGTACCCTGAGATTTCTCTGTAGGCTGAAAGTTGGGGTAGGTGGACCCTGCTGGGGTGGAAACTGACATGAGACCTGAAGCCTCGGGTGAGAACCAGGGAGGTAGGGAAGGGGGCCCTGAGCGCTGCCTGAAAAAGATGGTGTGTTGGGTGTCTCGGGACTGGGCCCTGAGAGGGGCTGCTGGGGTTAGGGAGATGCAGCCACAGGACCCAGGCCTGGGCTGCCAGGAGGGACATGTCAGTCCACCCGCCCCTGGCCGCCCCTTCCTGGGGTGCACGATACTTGGTGTCCAGCCACACAGGAACCTGGAAGGCATGGTCTGTGGAGCTGCTCACCTGGTGCCCCACATCCTCCTACAGGGAAAGAGCCTGGAGCCCAGAGAGGCCGACTTCCTGAGCCCTCCACAGCTGCCTCCCTGCCGCCCCGCCCCTTGGAACTGACGGACATCAGCGGCCTTAGTCCCCCAGGTTCTGCCCAGTGGTTCCCTGAGAGCAGCCCCTTCTTTTTTTTTTTTTTTTTGAGACGGAGTCTCGCTCTGTCGCCCAGGCTGGAGTGCAGTGGCCGGATCTCAGCTCACTGCAAGCTCCGCCTCCCGGGTTCACGCCATTCTCCTGCCTCAGCCTCCTGAGTAGCTGGGACTACAGGCGCCCACCACCTCGCCCGGCTAGTTTTTTGTATTTTTTTAGTAGAGACGGGGTTTCACCGTGTTAGCCAGGATGGTCTCGATCTCCCGACCTCGTGATCCGCCCGTCTCGGCCTCCCAAAGTGCTGGGATTACAGACTTGAGCCACCGTGCCCGGCCTAGAGCAGCCCCTTCTTCTTGAATCACCCTTCAACGTGGCAATGGGCTCAGAGGAAGACAGGCCATGGGCACTGCAGGCCCTAGCTTCAGGTGCCAGGACTAGAAGCCCCAGAGGCCACCATCTTGAGTTCTGGCCCTGACACCCCCAGCGTGGACAGGGCCAGGGATCTGTCTCCTCTGCCAGCTGTTGCTGTGTGACAAATCACCCCAAATCTACCTGAAACAGCAAGGGATCCTTTCTCTAGATACAGTGTATTAGCTTCTCAGTGTCAGGAGGGGGCGACTGCAAGCTCTGACACCTCCACACCTCACTCTTGGGGTTGTCCTCTGCACGGCTGCTCCGCACGGCTGCCCGGCCATCCCTTCACATGGAGGGGTGGTGGCTGGAACCACTTCTTACATGGCACTGGTTCTTTTTTTGGAGTCTCACTCTGTCTCACTCTGTCTCATGGAGTCTCACTCTGTCGCCCAGGCTGGAGTGCTGTGGCGCAATCTCAGCTCACTGAAAGCTCCGCCTCCCGGGTTCTCGCCATTCTCCTGCCTTAGCCTCCCAAGTGACTGGGACTACAGGTGCCTGCCACCATGACTGGCTAATTTTTTTTGTAGTTTTAGTAGAGATGCAGTTTCACCGTGTAAGCCAGGATGGTCTCAATCTCCTGACCTCATGATCCACCCGTCCTGGGGACTGTCCGGCTCTAGATTGTAGAAAGAGGAGCCTCGATTTGGGGAGGTTTCTCCCCAGTTGCACAGAGAATAGGGGAGCTGTTTAGAGAAATGATCTTTGGATTTGTAATCTGGTCTAGAATCCTGGCTCTGAGGGCCTTTTGTTTGTCTTTACTTTGTTGTGAGTTTGTATACACAGAGGAGATCCCTGAGAGCACTGATGGTAGTTTCCGCAGACTCTCCCTGTTTGTCTGGTCCACCATATTCAGGGAGCCCAGAAGGAAGCTCACCAGGCCTAACTCAGGGCGACTTTCCTTTCTTCTATTGTGCTCAGAGAGTGTCCAATAAACTCTGGGTCGGAGGTCATCCCACCCACTTTGAGTGAATCAAAGGTAACAGGGGCCAAAGCAGGGGAAGTTTGAGCCTTGCCAGGTCAATATTGAACGCCGAGCAGGGTGACTAGTGTCTGGATTTTGGCACATGTATTTTGTGATGGTTGGAATGGGAAAGGTTAATTTAGTTTCCCCCATGTAGCCTGTTGCAAAATTGAGAGGCTTTTGCCTGTGGTTCCATTAATTAAAAAAAGATGACTTTCTTTAGTAACACACCTTGGCCCCCACAGCTACGGTGCAGCCAGCAGGGTCACCAAAAACCACCCTGTTTTTCTGCAGCTGAAAGCTACAGAGAAAGGGAACCTGGAAACCCAGTGTGCCAGCAAAAGGGAGATAATTTCTTTTTTTTTTTTTTTTTGAGACGGAGTCTCGCTCTGCTGCCCAGGCTGGAGTGCAGTGGCCGGATCTCAGCTCACTGCAAGCTCCGCCTCCCGGGTTCACGCCATTCTCCTGCCTCAGCCTCCCGAGTAGCTGGGATTACAGGCGCCCGCCACCTTGCCCGGCTAGTTTTCTGTATTTTTAGTAGAGACGGGGTTTCACCGTGTCAGCCAGGATGGTCTCGATCTTCTGACCTTGTGATCCGCCCGTCTCGGCCTCCCAAAGTGCTGGGATTACAGGCTTGAGCCACCGCGCCCGGCCTAAAAGGGAGATAATTTCTTACCAGCCAGGCTTCTGCCTCTCTCTTTGCACTAACCCGGTGGGTGAATGGTAGAAGTAACTGTTTGTCTCCTCTGGAAGTTTTGATTAATAGGAAAAAGGGGCCAGGCGCGGTGGCTCACGCCTGTAATCTCAGCACTTTGGGAGGCTGAGGAGGGTGGATCACGGGGTCAGGAGTTCAAGACCAGCCTGGCCAAGATGGTGAAACTCCGTCTCTACTAAAAACACAAAAATTAGCTGGTGTGGTGGTGGGTGCCTGTAATCTCATTTACTCAGGAAGCTGAGAATTGCTTGAACCCGAGAGGCAGAGGTTACAGTGAGCTGAGAAGCTGAGATCGTGCCACTTCACTGTAGCCTGGGTGACAGAGTGAGACTCACTCAAAAAAAAAAAAAAAAAAAGGAAAAAGGATTTGTGTGACTCGTCTTATTTGTCTTTCTGTGTCATTCTGTCATGAAGGAGATACACAGTTTAGAATGTGGCCAGGACCCTTATAAATCCGTGGTTCAAGCTGCCTCAGCAGACTGGTCAGTTACAAATTTTGCTGTGGGTCCCTGAACAAAAACTGGGTGAGGTTTCCTTCTTGTCTTGTTTTGTGTCCTGGAGGGCTTGACTTCAGGACCATGGGGGGAATCTCTTGGTCTCCGCCAATTCAGAGGGCATGAATTTTTTTTTTTTTTTTTTTGAGGCGGAGTCTTCACTCTGTCGCCCAGGCTGGAGTGCAGTGGCACCATCTCGGCTCACTGCAAGCTCCGCCTCCCGGGTTCGCGCCATTCTCCTGCCTCAGCCTCCCGAGTAGCTGGGACTACAGGCGCCCGCCACCGCGCCCGGCTAATTTTTTTGTATTTTAGTAGAGACGGGGTTTCACCGTGTTAGCCAGGATGGTCTCGATCTACTGACCTCGTGATCCGCCCGCCTCGGCCTCCCAAAGTGCAGGGATTACAGGCGTGAGCCACCGCGCCCGGCCAGAGGGCATGAATTTTTGGGTTCATGTCAGACAACCAGTCTGAAAGAACACATAATAGCATCATGTTCAGCCTTAATAATTCTATTTATTTATTTATTTATTTATTTAGAGACAGAGTCTCACCCTGCTGCCAAGGCTGGAGTGCAGTCGCACTCTGTCGGCTCACTGCAACCTCCGTCTCCTGGGTTCAAGCAATTCTCCTGCCTCAGCCTCACGAGTATCTGGGGTTACAGGCGTGTGCCACCACACCCAGCTAATTGTTTATTTTATTTATTTATTTTTATGTTTTTAGTAGAGACAGGGTTTCACCATGTTGGCCAGGCTGGTCTTGAAGTCCTGACCTTAGGTGATCTGCCTGCCTCGGCCTCCCAAAGTGCTGGGATTACAGGCGTAAGCCACCGTGCCTGGCCGTTTTTTTTTTTTTTTTTTTTTTTTTTTTGGGCAGAGTCTCACTCTTTTGCCCAGGCTGGAGTGCAGTGGAACGATCTTGCTCACTGCAACGTCTGCCTCCAGGGTTCAAGCGATTCTCCTGCCTCAGCCTCCCGAGTAGCTGTGAGAGGTGACAATGTGCTAGCAGCCCTCACTCTCAGCGCCTCCTCGACCTCGGCGTCCACTCTGGCGGCACTTGAGGAGCCCTTCAACCCGCCACGGCACCGTGGGAGCCCCCCTCTGGGCTGGCTGAGGCCGGAGTTGCCTCCCTCTGGTTGCGGGGAGGTGTGGAGGGAGAGGCGCGGTCAGGAACTGGGGCTGTGCGCGGCGCTCGCGGGCCAGTGCGAGTTCCGGTGGGCGCGGGCTCGGCGGGCCCCACACTCGGAGCGGCCGGCTGGCGCCGCCGGCCCAGGGCAGTGAGGGCCTTAGCACCCGGGCCAGCAGCTGCAGAGGTTGCGCCGGGTCCCCCAGCGGTGCTGGCCCACCAGCGCTGCACTCAAATTCTCGCTGGGCCTTAGCTGCCTCCCAGCGTGGCAGGGCTCGGGACCTGCAGCCTGGCATGTCTGAGCTCCCCACTGCGGTGGGCTCCCGCGCGGCCCGAGCCTCCCCGATGGGCGCCGCCCCCTGCTCCGTGGCGCCCGGTCCCATCACAGCCCAACGGCTGAGGAGGGCAGGCGCGGCTCGGGACTGGA